AGCCAGGCTTGAGGTGTGAACCCACTGCTCTCAGGTGGGAAGAGGCAGGGGGTTCCAGCTGACCCCATTAGCCGGAGTCTGGGTTATTGGAAGGGAGGAACCCTCCTGGAGGAAAAAGCAGAGGGATGTTCCTGTTCATTTATTTCTGCATAGCCCCTGGGTCAAATACCTACCCTCCACTTTTAGATTCTTCAGGGCAGGAGAGAAACCAGCTGCCTGGAGCAGCAGCCCAGCCCTGGCCATAGCCTCCGGGATGATTCTCAGGAGAGCAGTCCCACCAGCAGTGGACTGAGCACCAGGAGGCCAGGTCTGGATCCTGGACTGCCACTCGCTTGGGAAATGGCACATCATTTGGTTCCTCTGTAACATGGAGATAATACCGGGTAAGGCTACTCGATGATTGCCTAGACTATAGAGTGGGGTGCAAGGGAAATGGCAAAGATCTACTAGGGATTTGTGTTTCAGAGACTTGCTACTTAAAGTGTCGTTCCTTGACCACCGGCATCATCAGCTCACCTGGGAATCTGAGAAATGCAGAAACTCAGGCCACCGCCCCAGGTCTCCTGAGTGGAATTTCCACAGAGTTCCCAGGTGATTCGAATGCACCCCTTGCCCTTCTTCAGGACCTCCCCTCTTCCCCTGGAGCTGCAGGTTCTGCCCAGGCTACTGCTGCTACCACAGGGGCTGCCTCTTCATGGGAAGTGGGTAGGCAGCCTTGGGTGGGTGAAGGGCTTGGGAAGCCAGCTGGGCCAGGCCAGGCAGGAGCCTGGGGCACAGAACTAAGGCATGCATGGGCAGGGTGGGTGGCTGCCCTTTGAGACACGACCTCCCCTGCCCAGGCCCAGGCCCAGGCCCAAGCAGGGGGCTCCCATGCACCAGTGAGTGCTTCAAAACTGGCCACAACTCGCAAGGATGGCTTAGTTAAAAAAAAAAAAAAAAGGAGAAAAAAAACTGGCCACAACTGCAAACCAGCTAGAGTGAGGGCCGGCTCAGCCTAACCCTGACCCCAGTAAGCTGTACCTCAGGAATGCTGGGAGGGGACTTGGGACCAGGCCAGGCCAGCTAAGGGCACTGAGTGGTTATAGGACAAGGCCACAGGGTGGCAGGAAGTGGTGATCCCAGGGGCTAGGTGGAGAGATCACTGGACTCTCATCCCTGGCTGGCCCAGGCCCTTGCTTGGCTGAGAGGGCTGGGCATTGCCCTAATTCCTGTCAGAGGCTGTCCGCCTTCCTCCTCCTCAAGCTGGCTAATGCCAGAGCAAGAGAGCGGGTAGAGTGCAACGAACCCTAGATCTTCAGTTATTTCTAGAATGGAGCAGTGACCTTCCTGAGACAGAGAACCTGGTGGCAGGGCTTGGAGGCAGTCTAACCCTTACCACCTGCAATACTTGGCTTCCCTTCCCTTTCCAGATATTGAGGAAGCTGGGTTTGAGGGGCCCATGAAGGTGTGGGAGAGGGAAAGCCTTTTCCTGAGAAGGACCCAGGCTATCTCAGCCCAGGGAGGCTAGTGTGAGAAGTTGCTCCTTCAGGGTGTTACCTTGCAAAAGGTCCGGCTGCCCTCTCGAGAGGTGAGGTTGGTTTATTTCAAAATGCCAGTGTGAAGGGAAGACAGTGGACTCCTTGGCACAAAGACTGCCTTCCCGCTCTTAATACCGCCAAAGGTATTATAGACACGCAAGGAGAGGCAGAACGGAGGAAATAAGGAGTTGGTTAGGCAATTCCTGAAAAAAGGGCAGGTAAGGAGACAAGACAAAGGAAAGGAGGAGTTGGCCAGGCAGCTCCAGGAAAAAAAAAAAACGCTTCCCAGAGGCTGGTCTGCCCCAGGAACAGGAGAGGATCCCAGACAGGTGCAAAAACCTCTCCCAAGTCACCCGTTTTGCACTGGGCCTAAGGTAAACAGAACCACTGAAATGGATATGCATAGTACATGCATAGCAAACAGAGTCATTAAGGGTTGGTGGGCGGGGAGGGAAGCAAAGAAAAACTTTCCAAAAAGTCCCAAACCAAAACGCTGTCAAATCGAATTATACCAGAGGTTTAAATGTCCAAATAGAAGATAGAGGGTCACCGTTACAGGGGGAGACAATGGAAATGAGGGTCACAGCAGGGCTTGGGAACGAGGGACTGGTTAAGTAGGACCCATGGGGACAGCACCCTCCAAACTGGTGTCAGAGCCCACAGATGAGTCCTGGGAGGAACGTCTCTTCAGGAAACGGATGATCTTCTCAATGGTGGCCTCCTGGTACTCGTGGGACCACCTGTAGGTACAAAGGCTGGTGGGTCAGAGGGCAGGGCAGAGGGATCTGCTGGCTGGGGCACCCACCCCTCCTCCTCACTTGATGCCATTGAAGGTGAGCACAGCCTGCATGTCCTCAGGCAGGGCCTGGGGCTCCGGCCACTCGAAGCCATCAGTGACGGGCACAATGTTCTTGCCTTCCTCCAAAGCAGTCACAATCTCCTGGAGAAAGGAGTAGGGAGTAGGAAAAGACCTTGGGCCCCCATCCAGGGACCCTGGCACCAGGTAGACACTGGGAGGGCCAATAACAGCCCGAGGCTGAGCCCAGGGTGGGGTGCTGGTCCTGAAGTCCACCTTGACTTCTCCCTCACCCCATGTGGTATAATAAAAAATATTTGGTCTCTATCCTAGGTTCTTGGTGCAGAGCTCTTAAAACCCTTGGAGTCCCCAGATGACTGGGGGTAGGGGAGCCTAGATAGCTTTAGGATGGGGGCTAGTTGCCAGAAAGACCAAGCTATGCTTAGAAGGTTGGAACTTTTAGCCCCCTGTCCCCCCACACACACACACCCAGGAAGGGGAGAGGGGCTGGAGGTTGAGTTGAGTCAGCAACGGCCAATGACTTAATCATGCCCACATAATAAAACCTCCATACAAATCCCTAAGGATGGGGTGGATGCATGAACACATCTAGGTGCTGGGAGAGTGGCCTGGAGGGATCATGGAAGCTCTGTTTCTCCCCTGCCTGTACCTCCTCCCCCCATACCTTGCCCTATGCAGCTCTTCCATTTGGATGTTCCTGAGTTGTATCCTTTATAATAAACCAGGAATAGTTAAGTGCTTTCCTGAGTTTTGCACATCATTTTAGCAAATTATTGACCCCCACGGAGAGCGGTCATGGGAACCCCTGAATTTATAGCCACATCAGACAGAAGTGTGGGTAGCCTGGGAACCCAGGACTTTCAACTGGCATCTGAAGTGAAGGCAGACTGGTGCTGAGCCCTTCAACCTATGGAGTCTGACACTTGCTCTGGATAGTTAGTATCAGAATTGAATTGTGGGACACCCAGTTGGTGTTGGGAAATTGGTGGCTGGTGTGGGGAAAAAAACCCCACACAATTTGGTGTCAAAAGAAAAACATCACACCCCTGTATCCAAATTGATCCATCATGAGCCCTGCCAACTGTACTCCTTACTTATTTCTCAAATCCACCCATTTTTCTCTACCTCCAC